CCCCCCCCCGCCGTTATATATTTCTCCATGCTCTTCATCTTAATTGATTATAAACTGTATCTATTGCATATGAATATATAATCACATATAGGCATTTTATTTGTATTACATTTATTCTTAGAACCACAAATATTACTATTATGTCTTAATTTTTTAATACTATTTTATTTTAATTAAAAAGTAAATATATATAATCATCTTTTTTGCAAAGATTACTTCATTTTATTTTATTCATTTGTAAATATTGCTTAATATCATTTCTTTTATAAAAAAAAGAAATTTTATTTAAATTTTGTTCAATTTATTTATAATTATGGTTCGTCCTTATATGTAATACAATTGCATCATCCTTTTTTTAAATCTATAATACTATTTTAGTTGTCATTATTTGTTGTCTTACAAAGCTTTGACACTCATCGAGTTAATATATTCCAACTGCATTAAATAAGAAACGATAAAGCTTTATCGTATGTATCAATTACTGCATATAAAATAATTAGTAATATAGTTGGTTGTAAGATAAATTCCGCATAAAATTGCTGTGCGTTTTAGCTTTCTTGCCACCGTTACATTATCAGTACATACATTAAGTTTAAAGTACATGCTTTACGTTTTTAAATATAAGAATTTATGTATATATTTGTACGTTCGCTAAGACTCTAAAAACATTGACTGATTACATTTGCATTGTAATTGTATTGCATTTACGCAATCCGATATTTGCATACAGACGTAACTTACAGATTGCGGGATTTGCATTTCACGGTCATTCTTCATATTTATAATTTAAGCGATTATAAATAAAAATATCAAATCTTATTTGTGTGTAAAAGAAACAAGACCTTTGTTTCAAGCTATTGGCTAATACCGAAACGAAGAAACTATTACAGCTTAGAAATAACTTCCAAAAGGTTAACAAAACGTTTAAACAAAACGGCCGTGATAATACATGACAATACAAATTATATACCAGATTCTTATCACTGTCTTAGCATCATCTATCTATTGCAATGCTGATTCAGATATTATTAAATATTCCGTTAATTTTCCTTGTAAAATACGACGAGGATCTACGTCAACTGATTATAATTAGCGTAATCAGCATGATCGATAATGGGAAACGCTTATCTTAACCTTTCCTCTCTTGCGGATTTCCGAAGTTCGACGAATTTATGTCAATATTCCTCGTGGAAATGCCTCGCGATTAAATTTATCTAAGTGAATCAGACATAATTATATAACAATTATTTTTGAAATTTTCAGCTTTACATCTAGATGATTGATTACTTCAATAGTTTATTAGAATCTTAAGTACTACTAAAACAAGGCTAAAATAATACTTAACATATTACCTTGATGTTTCAGAATGGAATTGATTGATACAATTATCAAGATACTATTTATCGTGATCATTCTATGGATACTTTATCGTAAGAATATATTCTTTTATATTACAAATATATTTTAATATATATTTATATATATTTATTTATCACTTTTTTA